GTGTGTGTGATGTGTGTGTGTGTATGTGTATGTGTGTGTGATGTGTGTGTGAGATGTGTGTGATGTGTGTGTATGATGTGTGTATGTGTGTGTGTGATGTGTGTATGTGTGTGTGTGATGTGTGTATGTGTGTGTGTGATGTGTATGTGTATGTGTGTGATGTGTGTGTGAGATGTGTGTGATGTGTGTGTGATGTGTGTGTATGATGTGTGTGTATGTGTGTGTGTGATGTGTGTATGTGTGTGTGTGATGTGTGTATGTGTGTGTGTGATGTGAGATGTGTGTGTGATGTGTGTGTGAGATGTGTGTGTGTGATGTGTGTGTGAGATGTGTGTGTGTGATGTGTGTGTGATGTGTGTATGTGTGTTGTTGTTGTTGTTTTGTAGGCAAGAGCTCATTCCATAGCCCAGGCTAGCTTGAAATTCAATGTGTAGCCCAGGCTTATGCTTCTTCTCCCTCAGTTTCTCAAGTGCTGGGATTATGGGAATAAACCACCACAAGAGAAGGTTCAACACAGATTGAAAGGGAAGGAGGGACAGATCGGGGTGGTGGGCCGTCTTTCTCGGTTCTGCCCTTCTGCGTGTGCGATGTAAGCCTGGCCCACCCCGGGCTCATGCCGAGGACAGCACACAAACTTCCCTTCGCCCCACCGTTGAAGAGGGGAGAGGATTTCTACAAAGCACCAATGCTCAGAGATGCAGCTGCTGTTCTTCACAGTAGAGCGATCTTGGGAGCAAGTTCCTAAGGCTATGGAGTCGGGGCGCACGGGTCAGATCAGTTCCCGGGAACAGCTCTGGGGGAACGGGAGTGAAGTGGGCCTGTGAGACGGACCTGCAGCCTCGGAGCTCGTGCAGCCTCGGAGCTGCACCGGCGAGCGCGGTGTGGTGGTTTGGGCCCTTAGTGTCACGGCTCTCCTTTTTCCTCTCACTGCTCTTCAGAGTCCCTCTTGGCCACAAAACGAAGGACAGAAAAATCTTAAGGCAGTCACACCAATCTTTAAAGTCGGGCTGACCCTTGCTTGGCAAGCGCCGGCTTTCTGAGCATGTGACATGGGGGATTACAGAGGGTCTCCAGCTTGCAAGTCCCCGAACTTGTTTAGCGCTCTGTTGATTTGAAATTCTTCTTGCTTTTTGAAGAAGGGCTCCATTTATCTTCACACACGCAGATCTTCTACCCACAGCTGTAAGGCCTTTCTAACACAGGAGCGCACCCTGTGTCTCCTCTCGCTGCAAGCAATGGGAGACAGAGGTGAAAATACGCCCAGCTTTAATAGAAATTAAATTCTCTGTGCACCACAGTTCATGGGGACTTCTCTAGTTTCTAGGATCCCATTTCTGCTTTCCATCTGCGCTGATCAGAATATTTTGAGATAGTACAATATTGTTTTCTAGACATTTCCCATTAGACACACAGTGTAGTTACAAGGGAGGTTGCTGTGGGATGTCCTGTATGTTGTGAATATATGTTGCTATGATGGATTAATAAATAAAACACTGATTGGACAGCAGCCAGGCAGGAAGTATGGGATATGGGGGACAAAGAGAGAACAGAGGCTGGGAGGTGGAAGGCAGGAGGAGACGCCAGGGAACAACATGTAAAGGCAACAGGTAAAAGCCACGGAACACGTGGTGACACATAGATTAACAGAAATAGGCTGCGTTAAGTGTAAGAGCTAGTCAGTGGTAGGCCTGAGCTAATGGCCAAGCAGTTTAATTAATGTAAGTTTCTGAGTGATTATTTTATAAGTGGTTGCAGGGTCCGTGGTGCTGGGCAGGACTGAAGAAAACTCCAGCTACAGGGGGTCACCATGGAGTCTTTTGCTTCTACTTTTTACCAGGTTAGAAAGCCTGTAAACAAACAAATGTGTTGGATCACAGCACATGTGTCAGTACGAGGGTTGGTACCAGCCCTCCGTGACAGTGGAGGTGGCGAGGGTCCCTGCACTGTCCCTCTAAGGCCCCCATCCCCTTGCATTTGTGTCCTTTCTTTCTTTCCTTTTTTTAAAGATGTATTTATTTATTTATTTATTTATTTATTTATTTATTTATTTATTTATTTATTTATTATGTATACAGTGTTCTGCCTACACAGCAGAAGCGGGCACCAGATCTCATTACAGATGGTTGTGAGCCACCGTGTGGTTACTGGGAATTGAACTCATGACCTCTGGAAGAACAGCCAGTGCTCTTAACCTCTGAGCCATCTCTCCAGCTCCCTTGTGTCCTTTCTTAAAAAACAGATTTCTGGAAAACTCGTCTATAAGCTATCTCGTTCTCTTCCTGCTGTGTGATCTGATCGTTGTGGTTTTGTTCTCAGTGACTTTCGTAGTTAAAAGGCTAGCTGATAATTAATTCCTGCTAAATTATTACCTGGTGTAACCCAAGGTATTACATTATCGCCTGGGATTAATGTAAGGCGGGGAATTTGTTGCTTAACTGCAACTAGGTCTTAAAGACACAGAGACCCAGAGCTATGGTGAAGGTGTGGTTACAGCAGAACACGGCTGCCACAGTGTCTGACTGTCTGTTTGCGTAAGAACGGCCGTGGCCACGTGTGGCCAGAGAGGAGAGCATCCTATGCCGTTCTTAGTTCATGCTGGACTTGCACTATCCAGCAGCTCATTCCCACGGGTGACACAGACCTTGCTCTTGGCGAACTTCTCCCCAGCCCCTTCCTGGCTTTACGCTGGAGGTGTCTGAGGAAGCAGAATGTCAGGCCTGTACCCCCTATCCCGCCCGCTTGCCGACATCTGTGCTCCGTCAGTTATGCCTCCTGTCCGTCTGTGACGGCTCCGGTCCTGTCTAAGGACTCGGGACCCCTTCCTCACTCACCCACTCAAGAGCAGCACTCAAGCAGTGCACCCCACTTGGAGATCACGCCATTTCCATTAGGTGCCTTGTTCTCATGTCTCCATCAGCGATAACCATCTCTTTCTAACCCCACTTCTTGCTCAGGTGACTGACCATGTCAGTGTCTCTTCAGATCAGAAGTGCTTGGAGAGCCCATCTGTTTCTGTTCTTCCTGTGTCTTGCCTCCCATTCCTCTTTGGTGCATTTTCACCCAGCTCTTATCTGTTACCACCGTGTCCTGGGGAAGTGCTCAGCATCCTTCCTCCTTGCTCAGCTCCCTGGTTTATTCCAGACCTCCTCCTGTGCAGCCTCCCAGCCACATTAAAGACGCTCATTGTCCCTTCCTCACTGTGGCTCTGGGGGAAGTCAGGTCTGTGTGTCTTTCAGATGTTAAGACCAACTGATAATGTAACACCAGGTGAGACATTAGCAGGAATGAAATTTTAAAATTAAAACTCCGGACTTGTTTGTAGCAAGAAAGTAGCCTTCAAATTGGCGTGTTATCATTTCTTACATTTATTCTACTTTTTAGTCACATTAAAGAGCTTCACATGTAAAAGAAATAACTGCTTCCCCACACCAAACAGTGGAACTTACGTTTGCCAGAGATTGTCACAAAAAAAAGCGGATTCTAGGAATGGGTCTGTGGGCCAATGTCTTCACGTGGCTCTGGAACTTCCTGCTCCCTTGGTGTCCTTGCGGCTTCACCGGCTTCTCCTCCATGCCCTCTGCTGACGTCCCTACCCTGTTCACTAAGGAAATCTCACAGGTAAGATCCTGGTGCCACTTTTGTCCTGATCCACTCTCACTTGGCATCTCCTGGTGAGTTCAGATACCATCCACTGCTAAGCATCTCAGAGCAGTATCTCTAGCCAAGACCTGTCCCTTGAGTCCAAACTCAGATTCCGGGTTCAGGGACATCTGACTGTCACTCCTGATCTTACCTGTCCTCAGCAGGTCATCAGGGGATCACAGGGCAGAACACATCACTGTTCTGTTTCGAACCCCACAGTGCTGCTGAATACAAGTCCAAGTCCCCATGACTGATCGTCCCCACCCACCCTTCCTACAGTTACCTTCTCCTCTTTGTGCTCATTCTGCTCTAGCCATGCTGGCTTGCCCACGGGCCCTGACCTGGCCAGCCATGCTCTGCCTAGGAGCCCGCATGTGCTACCCTTCCTCGGCATCTGCAATAGAAGGCTTTCTCCTCCAGGTCTTCAGGAAGCATCGCCTTTTTGCTGAGACCTTCACCCTAACACGGCACCCCTCCCCCATCTGCTTCCTCTGGTTTCCCTTGACCCAAACCCATCACTAGGTATCCAGAAGCTTTCTGGTTTATCTCCTCTCTTGCCCCCAGGATGTAAGCTCTGTGAGGGATGAATTTCTTCTGTCACTGGATACAGCTATCATCAGGGCCCAGTTTATAACCCAGAGCCACAAGCAAGGCACAAGGCCTATTTGTCAAATCTGTAACCGATCTTTCTACGGAGGACCACTGCATACGAGCTTCAGAAAGCCAGTTTTCCAAAGATAGGGATCCGAACTGCACCTAAGGATCTCTTTCTCAAGTGCTTCTTCCAGAGCTGAGAACTCACTGTGACCTCCCCTCCAGGCCCCGCCCCCCAGGCAAATGGCTAGCTCTGCAGCTGAGCACAGGGAGCTCAAAGGACACGCACTCTGCCATCTGTTTGTGGGTGTTCTTTTCACTCAGCAACTAATGTGCAACTATGCTTTCTAAGAGTTGCCTCTTTTAAATGGTCACTGTAAAGCGTAAGTGCAGGACTTGTTTGTAGCAAGAAAGCAGCCTTCAAATCGGCATGTTATCATTTCTCATATTTATTCTACTTTTTAGTCACATCAAAGAACTTCACATGTAAAAGAAATAACTGCTTCCCACACCAGCAGTGGAACTTACATTTGTCAGAGATTGTCGCAAAAAAAGCGGATTCTAGAAATGGGTCTGTGGACGGTAGCCACCTGTTCTCATGTTGAGATCATTTGCTAACTGATTCTCCTGGGCTAACAGCACAAGACAGCATGTTTGAGAAAATACTGTAGAATGAGAAATTACATTCTCCCAGTTCTGATGCAGAAAAAGGGCAAGCTGCCCGTCATTATTCATCTTCCTATCCCACCATAACAGCAAGGAATACAGGAAAATTTGTGAGTTTTATTTGCAATGCAGAAGTTAAACTGAATTAAACAGCTGGCAAAGGCATCTAGACTCTGAATTTAAGTTATAAAAATATCAGTGTGCTGACTTGTCCGGGGAATGATGAAGTCTGTTTCATAGTCGTCATACAGCTTCAGGTTGTGATGTCATTTGTTACAGTGTGGTCTGGAATTCCGAAACTGTTCCGTCAGGGGTGATCTGGACAAGTCTGGACTTGACATTTGATAGTAGTTGGGTAACCGAATATCATAGTGATGGTTTTTCCCTGTATACACCCTGTCGTTCAAGGTATAGAGTTTATCTGCAATGTCACTGCCAATCAAGATGGAAAAGAGGCGGGAGATGTAGTGGTGCTGTGCGAAGAGCAGGTACAATTTTTTTCTCCTCCAAGACACATACCGACAGTCGGTTTCTGCTGTGAGGGTCACCTGAAAACACGGAGACACGTAAATCAAACTAGGAAGCAAGAAACTCAAACACAGTTATTAAAGATTTATTTTTGTGTGTTTGAGTGTTTGGCCTCCATGTATGTATATACACCACATGTGTGCAGTGCCCACAGAGGCCAGAAGAGGGCGCCAGATACCCTGGAACTGGAGTTACAGGTGGTGCGGGCTGCCATGTGGGCGGCGTGGGAACTGAACCCATGTCTCTGCAAGAGCAGCCAGTGCTCTTAACCACTGAGCCATCTCTCCAGCTCCTTCAATCACATTCTTCTGCCCCAAATTTTAACTGAATTTCTTGTTATCCTCTTATGTTAAAAAATATTGTAAAAGCTTAAGATATTAAATAATAAAATAAATGACATAATTTACTTATCTAATCTCAGTGCTCCTCTTGATTATGTCTTACAGTTTGCAAAGCTACTTGATATTAAAATGAAAGAGCAAAGCTGGCTATGGCAGAGAAAGATACCTAAATACGAAGATTGCGGGCTTTTAACCCTAACTTGGTTTCTCTACTACAATATGGAATTTACAAATACCACCTTTGCACACTTACATGAATTTACATATACGTGTGCGTTTTGACTTATAGGAAACAGAACAGCATGACAAATGGAACCAACTGAAACGACTGCCTCACACCACCTCTACATGACCTCCAGAAGTGACAGCAAGTTTGGAGAAAACGGAAGCCCGCCAGCATTTTAAATTTCAAAATCCATTTCTTCTGTAGTAAGTGCAGTTCCTTCTCTTGGCGTTTTCTAAACCATCACACCTGCCAACAGTGTTCAAAGTCAGATCTTAGTTATTCCATATCAACCCCCCAGATGGGAGGTTCAACGCAGGAAGTCCAGAGAGGATTCACAGACTCCTTCCTGCCACATCTGTCCCGTTCTCTCTGTGACTGCAACGTCAGTCCCCAGGACTCAGAACTGGGAAGCGTGCATGAAACAAACCGCATCCCAAAGTCAAATGTAAACTGAAGCCGCACTGTGTGCTGCTCTGTTGGTATGCTTGCTGCTTCAGGACTGAGATTCATCTGTGCAGGAGACTGGGGTGTCAACCATGCAGCCTGTTGGGTCCTCACCTGAAAAATGCCTTCCTCTGTGGGTCTCAGTGAATCCCACTCCGGAGAATCCAGGAACTGAAAGGGGAGGATGTAATGCAGGAATTCACCATCAACTGTCACTCGGATCCTAGCAAGACACAAGAGCATCTTCTGTGAGGGACAAGGACGTGTGAGCACATTTGGGGGTATGTTGTGGGGGAATATCCCTCCAGCCTCTGGTGACTTCTGCCCTGTTGAATTTTGAAGAACAAAATATTGAATTCATGTACTACCTTAGTACCCTGTGAGATTTCTGCACGGATACTCCTCCCTTAAATATCTGGAACAGCAGTCAGTGAAATCTGCCAAAACATCATTAGGCTGAACGTGGACGAGGTGAGTTCAGTCTGTGTGTCTATTGTGCTTTGGCACAAGACTTGAGTGTACTCAGTCAGATTTTCTGATCACGTGGGAGGGCATTTAAGAGCAGGTGGAGATCTGCTACACACACCTCTGTGAGTTACAGGTTTAATCTTTTCAATTCCATGAAAAACATATTAGTGTTTGCCCCCTCAAACTGTTCCAAGTTTTGAGTCTATACATACGTACCATTTACTCATGAAGCCCTCACTCCTACTTCACATGAGGGGGCAAATGACAGAATTTACTAAATAGACTTGATAATATAAAACTAGAAGTCCCCAGTCATGTAACAGAATGCCAGAAGAGTCTGCCTAAAATCCTTTGTGTACCAATGAAGGTTGTGCCCATTCAAGCTGCCTCCTCCTCCTCAACATCCAGTGACTAGCTACGATGCAGCTACTGCATCCACAGAAATGAATTCATGCATCATTTTAAGGCCTGGGGACTTTATTTCTAAGAGGAAAGAGTAAGACTCTAGATTATTTCCTGATTCAAGTAAACAATACCCTGTCTTCTAAATGTCCACACCTATGATTCCTGTCTCAAAGATTTCTCCAAGTCTCAGGGTGCTAAGTGCCGCCCAGGCCTATGCTGCACCAAGATGGAAAATACAAACAGGGACAACTCCTCAGGGGAGAGACAGGCAGCCGAGGGTACAAACCTTCCCGACACAAGCAGGGAGAGTCTGTCAATGGAGGTTTTGCCTTGCATGGCATAACAGTGCTCCTTTTCCAGAGAAACCACTTCGGAGCTCAGAGCGATTGTTCTGAAGACGGGCACAGGGATCCCGAGGGGCTTGAAAAGGGAGCTGTACAGCACCTGGAACTCTCGGGCAAACGTGATGCTGTGAACTTGATAAGCAATGTGAACAAACTGCATGAAGCAGATGACAAACAGCACAAAGTTCCAGGAGAATATGTCAGCAGCGCAGACGTCTACCCACGCCCAGACCGCGGAGCACAGGAACCCCAGCCCCAGCAAGCTGAAGACGTACAAGAGCCCGAAGAACCCACTGCCGCCCATAAAACCTACTACAAACAAGATACTGGCAAGCTGGTAGATGGCGCCTTCCGCCTCTTCCTTCCAGGCCGTGCAGACTGGGTGTTCACCCACCAGGCTCCTCCACAAACTTGAGTTCTTTTCCATGGCCGGGCTATCAGCTTCCTTTATCAGTTTACTTTAGATGATACCGAAGCCAGCCCTGGAGTCCTTCGCTTTCCCATCACCGACTGCTGCTCACTCCTCGCAGGCCAGGGCACGCGGGAGCTGGCATGACCAGGGGTTCAGTGGGCATGGAGCCGAAAAACTACAGATTCAGCACCAGTGTCTTTAAGCTCATCTGGGCTCCTGAGTTAGGCCAAGTCCTCAAAAACTGTGCTATTTCCTGTGTAAGAGAAAAGGGACAGAGGATCTAATTCAGCAAAAGGAATGAATTGTGCTTTAACTTAATGAATCAACAGCACTACTTATGCAAATTGACTTCTCATTGTTATGAAATCAGGATGTTTCAGGCACAAATACTACTTAAAATTCTAATAAAAGCATATTTACTAGAATTGGCTAGCTATTTCTTTTTTTATTCATGTATTTTTCTTTTATGTGCATTGGTGTTTTGCCTGCTTCTATATCTGTGAGACGCTGTTAGATACCATGTGACTGGAATTGCAGACAGCTGTGTGAACTGCCATGTGGGTGCTGAGAATTGAACCCGGATCCTCTGGAAGAGCAGACAGTACTCTTAACCATTGGGCCATCTCTCCGGCTCTAGCTAGCTATTCCTTTTTCAGGGTGTGCAGGTTAATTTTTTTTTTAACACAAACTAGAGTCACCTGAGAAGGAACCTCAGTTGAGTAATTGCCTCCCTCAGACTGTGGAAGGCAAATTTGTGGGGCATTTTCCTGGTTAATGATGGATGCGGAAGGGCCCCGCCCACCGTGGAGGGTGCCAGCCCTGGGCCGCTGGTCTGCAGTTATATGAGAAGTCATGAGAGCAAGTCAGTACCACGTTCCTCCATGGTCTCTGCTTCAGCTCTTGCCTCCTGAGTCCTGCCTTGAGCTCCGGACCTGACTTCCCTCAATGACAGACACTAAGATGCAATCAACCCTTTCCCCCCAAATTAGTTTCAGTCACAGCAACAGAGAGCAAACTAGGACACAGGGTAACTAAATCCTTTAAAGTCTGCTCGTCTCTACAGCAGTGGTACAGTATAACTCAGAATCACATGACATGATGACTAAAAATGGAGAGCCACAGGCTGTGCCCATGTTACATATATGAAATAAGGATCACTAAAGGCAGTCCCAGGGATGTGTATTCTGAACAAGCTCTCCGTGTAATTATGATGAACCCGTGGACCTTCCAAGCTCCTCCTCTCTTGAGGGACACTGTCTGATGCTACAGTATTTACACTTTATAGATGAAAAAATGGGGGCTCAGAGGAGCCAGGAATATATCCAAGCTATACAACAGTCAAAGCAGAGCAGGGCTTCACCACCAATGCCCATGTGCTGGATCCAGTCACACGGTCTTTCATGGAAGATGGTTTAAACTTGACTTTATAAGGACCTTAAATAAATCAGGAAACACATGACCAGGAGACAGATCTTACATAATACATAATAGTCTGTGAAAATGTTTAATAAGTTAGATTCAGATAATTTAAGAAATTATATAGTATAGTATAGCATAATTTTCTATATCAGTGGTTCAGGTTAATATCAAATCCATATAAATAAACATACTTATTAATTCCTGTTTCTTAAATATTTACCAGATGATCAACAATATTATTGGCTCTGCACCTCTGCTCATATATTCTCTACTCTTTCAACCATGTGGTGTGGGATGACTCATCCCTAACAGGCCTGAGTGTCAGGCAGCCCAAACCAGTAATGAGATACTTTCTGAGAGCCAACCTGGGTCTGCCTAAGGGCCTTAGCAAAAGCAGCTGAGACATGATCTAGAGATGAGCTGGACCAATGAGAGGCAGCCATGTCACACCAGCAGATGCATATTCATCAGACCTTCCCCCAGGGTGGGGTGGAGGGTATATAAGGCTTGCCTCTTCCTGAATAAACCGAGCTTGTTGTTTCAACATTCTCCCAGAGTCTGTGTTATTGACTCTGCGCCTACTTGGCCCCTCCCCCAATGGGAATAACAGCACAGGACCCTGCCACAATGTGATAAAAATGCTAACATTTTTACCTGGGTCTGGAGAGAACTGGTTGTGAGGGCAGAGGTCGAGGGTCAGTGCACTAACACTAACATGCAAAGACCTTGAATGTGGATGCTGTATTTACTGTCTTCCAGGACACCTGCTAAAGTACCCTGTATCACAGCAGTGTCTCAGAAAGAAAAATAAAACTCCACACACAGAAGTGAACATGTCTTACTGAGTAGGAAGGCACAGGTCTTCACTCACAGAAGCAGAGACTGAAATGAAGGCTCCTCATTCATGCACCTTTTCTCAAGTAACAAGAGCCCTGCCAGATGAATCAGAAAGAGGAAAGGGAACAGGAGGGAAGGGACAAAAGGCTTAGTTATGCAACTTAGAGTGCTACTGTGATTTTTACTTGTTTTAAAAGACGTTTCAAGCATCTTGCAGATCCCTAATTCCAGTCAATCTGTGAGACACACACACTTCAAGCAGACTAGCATTCTGAGCATGCTCACTTTCTGCTCTTGGAAAAACAACACACAAAATTCTGTACTACTTAGACTCTCACAACAAAGGACGGCTCTTAAAAATGCAAGGATGAGTGAGAACTGCAAATACCAGCCTGCAAATGTCACTCCTGCTGTTTTACTTTTGAAACTGGGGCATTTTAACCAATCAATTCTTCAGGATACACAACACAGCCACAAAAACCAATATGAAAAGAATTGCTAGTATGTCTCTGAACTTTGGTTTGAACTCCCTTAAAAATTTATAATCCTCAGTGAAATGTTAAGATGATACTGATAAGAGAAAGGCCACATAAAACGTTTACGATGATTCAGAAGGGAGCACAGGGGAATCGTCCCCTTAAAATGCTTGATTTGGAGGGTATGTCGGGGCCTCTATGCTCCAGAAGTGTGATCCAGGACGGTCCTAGGAGGAACTGTGCTTCCGGCCTACTTCTGTTACACTCAAGTTGCTACCGGCCTTCTCTCCATCCCGGACACAGTACCGCCAAGCATGTGGACTTGCCCTGATTGAATTACTCCACACCCAGCTTGGTGTGTTTGTATTCAGTCACCACAACAGATGCACTTTATTAGAGGAGGAAGAACTGACAGGAGCAGGTGATGGGCAGGAAAGGGCCTCTGCCATGTGTCACGATCGCTCTGAGGGCCGAACATGAGTCATCCACCAGCTGCCTGCCTCACAGACCCCCAGGCCTTGGCATTTTTGTTTGTAAATATCTGCTGAGATGCCCACACAGCACCATGGACACCTTCCCCCAGCAGTAACCGATCTTGCCCACTGAGCTACAAGTGGAGACAAAGTCTAGCAAACTAACACAGCACTCCAATTTTATCCAGTTTTTCTCCTAAATCTTTAAGACTGTGAATTATAAAGGAATAAGATGCAAACGACGATAAAAGTACACAGTGGCAGGCAGCACACCTCTGGTGGCACACTGATGAAGATTAGCCCAGGACTGTGCTTAGCTGCTTAGAGCAGTCTCGTTTATTATCTCATGCCAAACATGGGGAGCTGGGTACTGCCTGGTGCAATCCTGGGGAGCTGGGTACTGCCTGGTGCAGTCCTGGGGAGCTGGGCACAGCCTGGTGCAGTCCTGGGGAGCTGGGCACAGTTTGGTGAAGTCCTGGGGAGCTGGGCACAGCCTGGTGAAATCCCCGAGGAGCTGGGCACAGGCTGTTCAAGTCCCTGGGTGCCGGTGAAAGGGTAGTTAGTCACATCCTGCAGCATGGATGCCCAAGTGCCCCTCTGCCCAGTTTCACTCTGGCCAGGACTCAAAGCTTCGGATCAGGTAGTGTGAAAATGTTGGGCAACAGGTTTGCCAGGAAACTAAAAACAGCTCACAATGGATGTGTAAGACCTGCTCTATCTGCCTGTACTGCTCAGTTCCTAATGGTCTATTTCTGGAGACACAGCCAGCCACTCATGAAACCGTTTGCTGTATTATTTAACGCTGACTGATTCTTCCCCTAGGCTCTAAACTTCTAAAGGACAGGAGGGCAAGAGATGGATGTTACCGTGTTCCTGACCCCTGGCACTCAGTGGGTGTTGGTTGAATATGCTGGGCTATTCCACCCTAACCTGGGATGTTGAAATACCTTCTGGGTGCTCTAGGGGTACAGATGCAGGAAAGAGCCAAACCTCAGAGATACTTCAGCACAAATACATTGACGATTTGGGGAATCTTTTCTTTTTTCCCAAAACAGCTGGACCAATGCCAAATTCACAGGGGAATTCTTGACCTACAACCTTGAGCTTCAGAACATTTGATTACTGCTTTGATTAAGACAACAACTAGTTTGGTGCCAGGCTATTGAGTTAGTTTGGGTTTCCAAGCAACCCACAAGTTAAAAATTCCAATATTCAACTCATTAATTAAAATCAGATCCCAACTTCAGTATGTGTTCCATATGCCAAATTCTCATTTTCGTGAGCTGTTTTTCTTTTCCTACTTATCCTTGAGATGGTATATTTACTGCTGAGTACCTGTGTGAAAGGCAGATTTTTAAAACTATCTCACTGAACAACCCTGTGGGGCAGGTAATGTTATGTCAAGTTTACTGATGAGAAATTTGAAATTCAGACAAGGTAAATAAGTTGTTGAAGGTCAAACTGCTTAAACGTTACCCGTATTCTCTGCTGCACTAATCTGCTTCCACCACACATCACTGAGACTTAGAAGCCACAGCTCTTACTCTGCCTCCTGTTCTCCATGGGAGCCTAGGAACATTTAATCACCAACAAGCAGGGGAAACACCACCTGTTCTTTCTACTTAAAGCGGCACCAGAAACTGGGTAAGGTGGCCACTCCAGAAATCCCAACACTCAGGAGGCCGAATTAGAGGCCAGCCTAGCCTAGGCTACCTTGTGGGACCTGGTCTAAAAAGTAAATAGCAAATAAACAACCAGTAGTATCTACCGCCCCCACCCCGACCCCCGCCGCCCCCAGGGTCTGTTTATGACCTCCCGGCCCATGGGCTTTTGACCTGGTTTGCAGTACTAGGCTTGAATTCCCTATTAAGCAGATCTCAAATCATCAGAAAGCAGCCACTTAACCCCCCATAACTGCAATGCCACTATTGTACCAGTGGACACATTTGGCTTGGCAGGTCAGTATTGACCTTGCAGTATTGACAACTGGCTAAGATAACCGATGACTCTTCTGCCCCAGCAGCCCGCAGAGTCCCTTCCAGCACCATGAAAGCTAGCCAGCAGGAGGAAGCTTCCAGCTCAGTTCCGCTTGTTTACTGTGTTCTGAAACAACAGTGTATGGCATCTCCAGCATGGGCGTCTTGTTATCGAGGCCTGGGGCACAGCCAAGAGCAATGGTAATAGCCCATATTGTTTTGGGGGCTTCTGGAGTCTCCCTGGTCAACAACTCAGGAAGATTGGTCACATATAGCTCTAGGATATTCCTTTAATAGCATACAGCTTCAGGAACAGCATTATCCACCCATGCAGGGTACTTCTGTTCTCACTGTGCGTGCGTGCTCGTGCGTGCGCGCACCACTGCACACGTGCGGAAGTCAGGGGACAACCTCAGGGTTTGGTCTTCACCTCCTTGTTGCTCTCTGCAGCACACACCAGGCTAGCTGGCCTGTGAGCTCCTGGGAACGCTGACTCTGCCTCCCACTCCACTGTAGGAGCCGTGGCTTTACAGATACACACAGATGCATCTGGCTTTGCATGAGTTGAGTTTTGGGGAGCCGTGGCTTTACAGATACACACAGATGCATCTGGCTTTGCATGAGTTGAGTTTTGGGGATACAAACTCATTCCTTATACTTGCATATAAAGGCTTTGCCCACTGAGTCTTTTCTCTAGCCCTTGCTTTTCTTAAATTACATATTTTCATTAGCCTACAAAGTACTATGTTTCCATATTTCTTTCTCATACATTAGTTTTGGCTGACCTACACCCACTCCCCTCTTGTAGGCCGCAAGAATATATTATAGAGATTCAGCTGTGTATTAAAGCTGTACTTTGACCGGCCAAGGGTCTGTCAAGAGGCAAGCCACTTATGAATATTTGGTGATATCCAGCTTTTAATATTTCAGCTGTCTTCTGCTATGAAATTCTTGCGTGCCCAAATATTCCCAGACCAATTGGCAAACTGTTCAGCACCTCAGACCTGCTGAACTAGGTAACTAACTCCCCCGCTGAGCCTTGGAGACAAGCTGGCTGGAGATGCACAGCTTTGTTTCTTGTGCAAATGAAGCTCAGACCATCCCCTTACTCCATGCCTAGGGGCATGGCAGAGAGACTGACTGAGGACAATAGTGCATTTTACATAACCAGGTGCAGTAAGGACTGGAGCAGAAAATCGGACACAGAACCACATGACTGGAGAGAGGAGAGGAAGACAGAGGTTCAGTGGAGGGTAAAGCAGATCTCTTGTAGAGTTTATCAGGGCCAGGGGTGAAGGGACGGAGGACGAAGGGACAGAGGAGGAAGATCAGGTCAAAAGCATAAGAGTTTACTAAAACTATGAGGACAGGAAAACTGGGCACAGAGAGGAGCCGAATGTGAGGACAGGACTGAAACTGTGGATGAAATTGGCTTAGAAGAACAAAGTGAATGGACTAAAGAACTCAGAGTATCTAGATTCATTCCTGTGCCACTGGTAGGGTCCCTTCTAGGCCCCCTGGGATAGTATACTATAACCCCCTCTCTCTTATCGCCACTTAGACCTTTCCACCACTCGTATTCTTGTCTACATTCACATTGCATGTGTTCTGTCGCCCAAACCAAGCCCCCCACCCTGCACCCCCCCAGCTTCCCAGTTTCTGCAAACACACAAACCTAGAAGAAAACCTACAACTGTTGTTTTACTAAATGGACATATTATCAAGCTGCCTTCTAAATATTATGTTTATATCCATGGATTAAGGCTCTCAGCCTTGGTCAAGGAAGCTTGTCCTCACAGTGGGCAGTGGTTAGTGCAAAGACTTAGAACCAGAGTGCTGAGAACTAGTGACTGTTGAGTGCTCAGCCCTAAATGGGACACCCATGCACCCCCACCCACCTCCCATACACACAAGGCTCTTGGAACACTGGAATGTAAGAGCTGGAGAACAGTGCTGAGAAATTGTCTTCTAGGCATGGCATGGCCTTTGCTCTCATGAAATCACTGCAGCCGTGGTTAGCTGCACAAAACTGGGCCGGTAAACATTTCATCGTGGGCTAGGAATGTGACTCTTGAGGGTCCACTCCTAACTGAGTAGCATTGGCAGCTGATCATTTTGTCAGTGATGTAGTCACTAGTAAGTTAAGCTGTCTATGTTATAGCAAACAACCCTCCACCCATATACAATCAACCCCAATTAAACACACACACACACACACACACACACACACACACACACACACACACGCAAACATGCACGCATGCACACAGAGACACACACATGCACACACAGGAAGTCAAGTGAGAACTTGTTGGGAAGGAGGGGTCCACTGTGGGAGGATAAGAAAGGGTAGGAGGGGATAAATATGGTGTCTTGTTAGAGTTTCTGTTGCTGTGAAGAGACACCAT